CCTCTCGCTCCACCCTATCATAAGCACCTTGCCAGTCTAGTGCAACCAAACCCCCCCCTTCCCCCCCTTTTCCTTCCACGAAATCCTTAAAAGACCATGTCCCATCCCCATAGACCTACCTGGCAACCCAAACTGGGTTTCCGATACAACCCTCCCTACAACACACTTGATCCTATTTCCTAAAATTTTCGCAAATAACTTATAATCCGCGCATAACAACGATATTGTTCTATAGTCCCTGAGCGAACGCTGTTCCTTACCCTTCGGTACCAAAACAACTACAGCTGTTGCCTGTCTTTCACCAACCTTCCCCTTACCTTCATCAAGTTTAGTAACCTCACCAAAAAAACCTTTTATTAACTCCCAATGCTGTTGATTAAAACTCCGCCGGCAGTCCATCGATTCCTGGTGCTTTGCCCTTTCGCATGGCACTCAAAGCTCTCCATATTTCCCCCTCAGTTATGTCCCCCCCAAAGCTTCCCTATCACTGTGTCCTAACCTACATGGCACACTTCCACACACCCTCTCTAAATCCCCTAATCCTACCCCTTCCTCCCGCCAATACTTTTCGTACCACTTATCCGCAAACAACCCCATCCTATCCGTAGTGTGGATAACCTGACCAGCCCTATACCCTCCCACCGACTCAAGAACCTCCAAACATGGAATAGCTGTTGCCTGCTGACGTTTTTGTCTGCGCAACACACACGAGGACGGCCTATCTCCCCATAACACCTCCTCCACCCCCGCCATTACTCTCACCGCTTGGAACCGCTCGTCCTGAATTTCCTACAAACCGCTCTTTTAAGTATCATAATGTTGTCCATCGATAGACACACCTCTACTGCCCCTTTTACATAACAACCCCGTAACCTGTCCTCCAAATAATTAAGCAACCCAAATTTTAAAGAATTAATCCTTTTCCCCTCCCTCACATAATAATGCCGAATCCGGTCCTTAGCCACACCATCCCACCACGTCACCACGTCCTCCACACCTTGTACCTCCTCAGTTAATCTCTCCCACAGCTCCGTAAACCCCCCAACCCCTCCTCATCTTCCAACAGACTCGTATTTAATTTCCAATATCCCTAGAGATACTAGCTAGAGAATCCCACTCTACTTCTGCGACAACCGCCCTATGATCTGAAAAAGCTAGTTCAATAGTACGGACAGACTTTGACAATACCTTATGAGATATATAAACCTGTCTAACCTAGCTGCGTAACCTCGCCTCACGAAAGTATGCTCCACCTCCCACGCTCCCCCACCTACCACATCCCTCAACTGAACGTCCACCAAAAGATTGCGTAATGCTGTCAACATATTCCCCGCCCCTCGTGGTTCCACATCCGCTCTCCTGATCACACAATTCCAGTCCCCACCTATGATGGCCACTTCAGGTAAACCACGGAAAGCAAAAACTAGATCATCACACACAAAATCCCTCTTTACTTTCATATCATTTTCAGCTGGTGCATACACACTTACAAAGGTTACCCTCTGCCCCATCCACCACCCATCCACACACAACACCCTCACCCCCCCACCCCCTTCACGTCTTTGCAACACAAACGGGCTCGCCTCCTTTATCAATAAACCCACACCACCTTTCAAACGTGCCGATGGCAGAGTCAACACCTTATACCCTTCCACCTCGAGCACTCTACCCTCCCTGAAATTATGCTCCTGCAGAAAGACTACGTCCACTCTGTATCGACGTAAGAGCATACGAAAGCATTCCCTCTTCACACCAGTACACAGTCCATTCACATTCACAGTCATGCACTTAAGGCCTTTCTAAAGCTTCCAACCCTTTCTCCTCTCAACCTTCCCAGGGCCTCTTGCCCCAGGGTCAACATGTGGTTTGTCACCATCCACCCCCCCCCCTTTTCGATGCCTCTTATCCTGGCTGTCACGAGAATATACATCCTTCCTCCCAGACCTCTGCGCGGGCGTCAGGACATCATCTGAGTCTGACGCAGCCGCCCTCTTCCTCGTGACACCCTCTACCGCCATACTGTCTTCCGAAGATTCCTCACAGTGAACATCAACCTCTACTGTGATCTGTCGCAAAGAGCACGGTGACTCCTCTCTGTGCCTGCAGTTGTCCTCCTTCCTTTTCGTGCCTGTCCCACCACACTCTCCTTTCAACTCAGGCACCATTTCACGGACCAAGCCATTATCCTCGCCTGAAGAAGGTAAAGTTTTCAATACCTCGTCGAGCTCCTCCTCCAGCACTCGCACCTCCTGCTGAATTAGCACTTCCTCCCCCGTCACCGGCAAAGTGGCCATTTTTGGCTCCACACAACTCGTGCCTCGCCCATCATGCACCACAAGAGACTCTTCTACAATTTCACTCCACAGACGGCCATCTCCTCATTTTCCTGTGGAATTCTCCTCAACGACATCCACACCTGTAACTGGTGCTCCACCTGTTTGCGCCGGCGCCCTCCACTGCCTCCCACACGTCGCCGCCATATGATCATACTCCCCACACAACCTGCATGTCCGTCGCTGCCCAGCATACGCCACTAGAATTTGGGTCCTAAACTCCGGCATCACGACGTATGACGGGATCGGGTGCCTCAGTGTCATTTTGAGGGAGAATGTACCCTCCGGAGCCCCATGTGCCCTCCGCCCATTTTCCCTTGGGTTCCAGGCCGGGTACCAAAGCTGCAAACCCCTTTCCCGAAAGTCCTCTCGTCACCCAAAGGGGATTTTTCGAATTCACCCATATAGTGGCGAGGACGTTATGGTCACACTTTGACAGCGGAGTTACATAAATATCCATGTAAAATTTTGTCATAACGACTTAAAACCCCGTCAAATTTTAAAATTGACAATAGCAAGGCCCATTCGGGGCCCACCTAAACCTCATAATCGCATCCGTAGTTTCCTGATGATTGTGGGAAGTAAAAAGCGCCGGAGGGGAAATCCCCCCACGAAGCAGTAAAACCGACAGTGTTCACCCTCGTGGAACTCAGGTATTGTTGTTGGAGCTCCCTGACAAACAGAGGGGGGTGCGAGCACAACCGCACTCCACCGAGTCGGAGCTAATGAACTGGTGACTTTTGGTTTAAAAGGAAGGGGGTGTTAGATTTTTCGGCGGGGTACGAACTTGAGAGGGAAGGGAACGGGGGGGGTTTGTTTTTTTTAATACAGTAGCAGGGGGTTGGGGGATGGAGGGGGGGGCTTTCTGAAGGTCTTTTGCCGGTTGGTTTTGTTAATTTGGGGTAGTACCCCCCGGTACAGTTTTATAGGGCCAAAGTTATATTGTGTAACTTGTGATGACAGAGTAAGTTGATATTGCTCTGGAACATTTTAATAAATTTTAAATTTGTTGAACATAATACATAAAAAAGGGGAAATATTATTAGTGAGTGCTTAAAATTTCTAGGACTGTACCATATTAGTTGGTTTTTTCATTTTGTCCAAAATTACTTCTAATTTGTTATAAGTTATTTATGTTTAGTTTTTATTTTAAATTTTAAAGTGAAAAAAAGAAAGGTTTTGGACTCTGTGCAAGTGGCATTTATTTGCCTGGGGAAAGGGGAAGTGAAATGAAAAATATGATTGGTTCATAACAAAATTTTGAAAGGGAAAATTTGTACCGTATTTAAAAGACGGGAAGGAGTGAGGATTGTAATTAGTATTAATTCTTATGTAAATTTCAGGGAATCAGGGTTTAATAAGAAACCCCTATAGGGATGATAAAATTGTTTTATTTGTTTTTGAAATAATTTGATTGATGAAATTTAATTGGTTTTTAGCTTTTTAAAAAGAGAAAAAAAGCATGGGGGGGGGGGATTTTTGTAAAACAAAGTGTCACTATCTATTTAGAAAAAAGTAAAATTTTTATTTTTCTGGGCGGAGCGATAAGGGGTTTTCTACCCTTTTTTTTTTTGTACCCTTAAGTATTTTTAAATTAATGATGTGGAGGTTATGGTGGTGACGGCAGACGTTTCTAGGCATGTGGGGGGGGGGGGGTGAAGATCGCGGTGGTTTAAATCCCACCGTCACGAATGATTGTTTAGGGGTTAAGGGGTTAGGGTGGGATTGGTTTTTTGTGGATGTGTGCATATGTTAGACTTTTCTTGTATTTTGTCCCTTTTTTATGGTGGATTGTGTTTTAAATGTCAATGATATCCTTAATGCTCTAATAAATTTTAAAAGATGTCAAGAGTATACTAAGGCGAAAGTGGTATTTTTTAAGGGGGGGGGGGAGTGTTTAAAATTACTAGTAGGACTATCGTTTTTTTTATAAGATCATTTTTTTCCCTGAAGACAGTACAAAAAGTTGTTTTATTGGAGTGAGCCCAATTCGATGCATTATATAATGTTTTTTGGTTTTTTGTAGTCACTGCGATTTTCGTTTTACGCCCCGTATTTGTTACTTTTTTGATTATGACCCAAAATTTTTTTTTACCGAGTTTAAATAAAAAAAAAAAAAGTTTAACTTTCATAGCACTTCAAATACAGAAGATTTTGGGACCCCTTAATCTGCAAAAATAAACTCTGCGAAATATACTAATTCAAAGTGTTGTTAAATTTAAATAAAAACGTCTTCCAGATGCTAAAAATAGCATCTACAATTCTTTATTCGGCACGTATAAATTTTTATAAAGTGCAGGCCGCATACATGCTTAAAAAAAATTACAAAGTATAAATCATAAATAAAAATTTCAAAGATTAATCTCCACTAGTTGGAGAGCTTAGCCATTCATAAATACTTAGGATTTAGAAACAACCTTTGTATGCAAGATGCAATAGATGCCAAAAAAGATCATTTACATTCGTTACACCACACCTTCAGCCAAATCGTTCACTACCAGAGTTCAGGGGCTGAGTTTGAGTAGACACCAAGCAAACTTAGAAAGCTAGTGGACTGACACACCTTGAGGAAACACCTCAAAAAGAGAAAAAATCCAATAGCCAATGAAAATTAACATGGTTTTATGCAAAACACTTAAAACATAAATGTCGTTAAAATAAATACCAAACGGCTCTGGCAGTCGCATTCAACTGAAGACAGTGTACACAAATTGCCTTTCAGTGAAAATTTCCTAGGTATGCTACAAATACACAAGTGACCATGGCAACAGAGAACACTGATGACAACCTTCACCAATAGGCAATATTGGCAAGTATTTTATGTGAGGCAAGTTTCGCACATCTAGGAGCATTAATGGTGAAAATTAAGTGCATTGTTCATATCGCCTAAATAATTTTTGTATACCAAAGTATATAAGTGTGTCCACTATCACCAATGTTTTGTATTACAGTAGTTTCCTCATGTAACGTTATCTTAAAACTTCAGTCACCACTTTTTTTTTTTTTTATTATATTTAAGTCTGCATTAAAAAATGTGCAGACTGCAGCGCTCTTTACCGTTCCATACCAAACTCGTGGGCATCATCGTCAGTAACATCACCATACTGCCATATACTCAAGTGTTTCCGTTTTGCTTCTTCCTGGGCACTGCGGTATTCACTCACCAGAGACTGCAATCTCTTGTCTTTGCGTTCATCAAGCAACAGCAAACCTTGGGAGAGCAGTGTGCGAGCTACGTCAGCTTTAGTGTCTGCTCGCTGGATGGTCACATAATCGAAACCACCATTACGGTATTCTCTGTTGACCAGAACCTCTCGCTCCATTACTTCACCCATTAGTAATTGCAATGCATCTTCAACATAGTCATCATCTTTGCTGAACTTCACTAGGGCTAAGTGTAGTTCATGTGCATAGGGAGGTGCAGATGAAAAACTGCCAGGAAGTGATGCACATTTTAGAGACTGAGTAACTTCTCTATTGCCATAGTCAATATAATGTACAGATACGTTACTTCCAGCAACCTTTTCAACCTTAGCACGATACCGGAGACCATCTGTGAACTGAGCAGCACACAGATCACCTCGCTTGGGACTATAGGCTCCTCCAAGTGGTGGCTTACTTTCAAATTCTGTTCGAAGGTTATCCATCATTTGTTCTAGGGCGGGTCCCTCAGAGCAATACTAACCATACAAGACACCTTCCCGGGTCACTGCAGCAATCATCATGGGCTTGTAGTCTACTTTGCGCTCGCTTACAGTTTCCTCAGCCTTGTCCTCTTTTTCTTCTTCAACATAGTTTGCCCAAATATTAAGTTTCTTCGCTTTCGCAGAGTCTTGTGCCGCAGTGAGCAAATGATAAAACTTAGACGATTCAGCTGTGAAGTGAACTGAGCTGAGGCCGCCTTCAACAAGAAGAACAGAAAGGTTCTTGTTTTCTACATGAAGCCAGCCAATGAAGTTTCCACCTTTGTCCATGGAGTCAACCTCAATCTCAACCTCTCGCTGCAACACAAGATTCTTGGTCAATGCGAGAGCCTCTTCACCATAAGATTCACCAGGAAGAGTGCCACCAACACCTCCAGGAGCTGGTCGTGTAGCTCTGGGACAGTTGATGCCTGCCAGTAGGAATGTGATGAGACAAGTCTCCCTGGGTATAAACAGACGGACACGTGAACCTGACGCCACAAACTCTACCACTGCTTCAGTACGACCAGCACGTTGGAGGAAGGGTAGGAAGCCCTTGGCTTTTCCAACATCACTAGAGATGTCGGCAACTCTGTGAATGGGTGTTTCCTTTTTGTTGTGCAGACCCTTTGCCGACTTAATAGCTTTGGCTTCTGCAGACAGCAAATCATCATAACTGGCACGCTGATCATCGTCTTGTCTGTATCTGAAAACTGTAGCATAGCCTTTGCTCACCATGGCTTCACCCACATTTACATCTCCAATTTTGACAGTGCAGCAGGTTTTTTCAGGGAAGTTATTCTGAGCCGGCTGGATATAATCAACCGTGCAATGAACCTTCTGTCCAATGAGCTTTTTACGCAAGAACTCTCGTGCCTCAAACAACCAAGGAATGTCGTAGAGGGGACGGAAATTCTTGCCTGGTGGTCTAGGAGTATCTGAATCCGGAAGTCTTGGAGGCCTTACACTGGACAAGAATATTTTTTTAGTTGTGCCATCTTGCCGTTTTACTACTAAAGCATCACCATTAACAACTTCTACCACTTTGCCAGTGAATTCCTTGTCCTTGTCAGCAATTGTTAGACTCGAGGGCTTGTAATCTGCCCACAGCCGAAGCTGCTTTTCTTTGGCTTGTTTTTCTGCAGCCCTCAATTTTTCTGGTCCTCCTGTTACTGTTGCCATGGACCAATCAACACATCTGGCAAAGCCGTCGCGTAACAATGCTTCAGCAATGTTTCCATTCGGATGGATGATGGAGCCAACAAAGTCATTGTTGTTGAAAGTTTCCAGAATGATCTCTACATCTCTTTGTAGCAGTCTAGATTCTGTGAAGTAGCGGGCTTCATCAGCAAATGGTTCACTACTGGACTTGTCAAGCTTGCCCTCAGAATCTAGTTTATTCATTGGGCACCTAATCCCAGAAATCATGAGAGTAATATAATGAAAATCTGGGAGGAGGAAACAACGAACTGTAGAACCATCACGGACATGCTCAATTACAGCTTCAATGGGTTTTCCCTTAGCCTTGTCCACGAAGGAGCGCATATTTTCACACGTTCATTTGACACTGCGAACATGCTTCGCATCATCACTTGCCCACTTTCCCTTGCCCTGGCTTCTGGCAGTCTCTTCAAGATCAATCAGATTACTCTCTCTGATATTTTCTCGTCTTACTGCCACAAGACCTTCCGCAACCATTACTTCAGTCAAGTTTTCTCCAGTGGCAATGTCTTTGCCAAGGTAAATAGAACCATATTCTCTTCCAGTAGAAGTCTTTGTTTCAACTGTAAAAAGAACTTTCTTGCCAATCACCTTCTTGCGCAAAAATTCTCTGCTCTCCCAGCCATAAGGATCGTCAGTAGACTCGGGAGCATTTGATGTCGCTCGTCGAGCTGTACGTGGAGCAACAACATTGGAAAAGTTGATTTGTCTCTCCGGGGGAGGCCCCCTTTTGGGCTACCCACGAACAATGACAGCATCGCCAGATAAAACCTGCTTAATAATCCCCCGGCAGACCTGTGGTGGCTGAGGAGCGGCCATGTTGTTAACTAGTGCTGCCTTGACGGTACCACCAGTCACGTGACCACGCCGCTACCACTACCAGTTCAACTACCACACTGATGACAATAGTTGGTGGCGACTGGAACTGTGTGGTGCGCAGGAAGGATGTGGAACCGAGAGGGGCAGGGTGTTTTTTGGCAGGTTTAGGGGATCTATTGAGAAAGGGATATGCTGCAGGATTAGATAGGTTGTATGTGACAAGGGGAGTGAGGGTGACGCGGGTGCAGACGGTGAATGTCGTTTATTCAGATCATTGGGCGGTTTATGCTGATTTAAATTGGGACGGTTTGCCTAAGAGATATTTGGGGTACTGGAAGCTGAATGTACGACTACTGGGTGAGGGGGTGGAGGGAGCCGATTTTGAAAGTTTGTGGGAGGACTTATGGGGTGGGGGTAAGAGTGCAAGCGATTTATTGGGGTGGTGGGATGGGGTTGCGAAGACGAGGATCAGGCATTATTATGTGCGAAGGGGAAAGAATGAGGCATGGATGACATATGGGCTTCAACAGTATTTAGAGGGGCGGTTGCAGGGTTGTTATCAGAGGGGTGCTGTGACAGGTGTGTATCCAATGGAGGAAATTGAAGCATTAAAGTGGCAGATAAGAGATATGCACAATGAGAGATTTGATGAGGCGAGGGTGCAAGGTGGGTTAGAGGAGGCGATTTGGGGTGACAGGCCGTCAGCCTGTGTGTTACGGGGTCAGCGGAGACGCAGGTTGGCAATGGAAATTGATATGCTGGTAGCACACGAGAACTTAGGTGGGTATACGAAGGGTCAGGAGTTGCGAACTACTGAGGGTATGAGTGGTTTTATGGATAGTTGGTTTGGAAAATATTTGCGGAGTGTAGGAGTGAACGGTGAGGATTTAGAGAGATTGGGAGAGAATGTATCTTGTGTGCTGAGTGGAAGTGATCGTATGGCATTGGGAGGGGATATTGAAGACGGGGAGGTATGGAGAGCTTTGGAGAATATGGCGAGAGGTAAAGCGCCAGGTATAGATGGGTTACCTTGTGAATTCTATGTGAAGCATTGGAGTGTGTTGAAGGATTTTTTAGTGAACCTGATGAATGTGATGAAAAGTGAGGGGAGGATGGGTGAGTTGCAGCGTACTGCAGTAGTAGTATTGATTCAAAAAGGGAAAGGCCCTACTACAGAGCAGAACTACAGGGCGTTGTCGTTGTTATGTGCTGATTATAAGATATTCGCAAAAATCTTGGGGAACAGGCTGAAGTGCGTGATAGAGTTGTTGCGAGAGGTCAGTATGGGGTGCCTGGAAGGACGATGTATGAGGGACATGGAATAATAAAAGATTTTGTGGAAAGTATGGAGGGGGAGAATAAAAGGGGGGGAGGTGTCTTAGCATTGGATTGGCAGGCTGCATACGATTGCGTAGAACGAAAGGCACTGTGGCATATCTTACGGAGGCAGGGTTTTGGGGAAGAGATGGTACGCTGGATTGAGACTTTGTATAATAGGGTAGGTGTACGTGTGCAGGTGAATGGGAAATTGGGTGAGTGGGTTTCAATGGGTAGAAGCATAAGGCAGGGTTGTCCTCTGTCTCAACTGTTGTTTGCTTGTATACAGGACCCTTTTTATAGGGCAGTGGGGCGATGTTTAGGAGTGGTACGTGGTGTGGAGAATGGTGGGATGGGAATAATAGGGTATGTGGATGATACAACAATTCTAATGAGCAGGGAGGAAAGTTTACATGAGGTGGAGGATGTAATTGGTGGTTTTGAAGGTGTTACAGGTTTAAAAGTGAATGTGGAGAAATCGAAATTATTGGTCTTAGGGAATTGGGTAGAGAGGGTGCGATGGGAAACAGCTGTGCGTTGGTGTGTGGTGGATAGACTAAAGGTGTGTGGGATAATTTATATGGGGAATGCCGGGGAGGCACGAATGCTTAATTCTGGGAGGGCAGTGGATAGGTTGGTGGGTAGGTTAAATGTTTTGAGACCCTTGCATTTGACGATACATCAACGTGTAATAGTGGTGAATGTGATGTTATATAGTATGGTCTGGCATGTGGCAGCAGTATATCCGTTGGCAGGACCGGACATAACTAGAATGCAAAAAAAGTTTTTTCGATATATATGGGGTTCTGGGTGTGATTGGTTGGGTAGAAGTGTTGTTATGCTACCGGTCGACAAAGGTGGATTGGGTTTAATAGATATAAGATTAAGGGTTAAGTGTATATATTTGAAGAGGGGGTTTCTCCGAGTGGAAGGTCGTGTGGGGAAGGGTGTGCAAGCATTATATGAGGAGGCACGAAGGTGGTGGGTAGGATCAGAGGTGAAAGAGTGTGAGGATGTGCTTCGAGCTTTATTGTATGTTAGAGATCCGTCTAGGATACGGGTGGGTGTTCTGGAGCGTGCTGTAGGGGTGAGGGTGATTGCAAATGTTGAGGGCATATACCCAATGTATGCATGGGGAGACATTTGGGTAAGGTTGCAGTTGGTGCGCATCAGACCAAGAGTGAGAGAGGTAATGTTTCGTTTCCTTCATGGAATATTGCCGTCTGGTGTGGTGCTTCGGGAGAGAGGGTTGATGGTGGAGGACGTATGTAGGGTGTGTGGGGATAGGGAGACAGCTTTTCATGTTGTATATTTTTGTAAAAAATTGGAGTGTATACGGGAGTGGATGGGTGGGATTTTGAGGAGGGTGGGTGGGGGAGGGATATCGGTATTAAGGGCATTGAGTTTAGATGTGGGAGGTGTGGAAGAGTCTGTGCAGCGTGCTTTGGTGTACATCATAACGGATTTTGTTTTCGTATCATGGGCCATGAGGGGTAATGGGGATTGGGTGGTGCAAAAGAAGGTATTGGCTGCAACAATGTACAAAACACTTAGTCGTAATAGGGGGATATATGGAAGTAGATGGGAAAGGGCTTTTCCTGAAGGATATCGAAGTATGAATGTCAGAGGTTTGTTGGCGGAGTGAGAAAAAAAAAAAAGGGGGGGGGGGATGTGTTTGGATTTTCAGGGGTTGCACCAGGCTCATCTCAGAATTTGGGAATGTATGAGGAGTTCCATGATATGGTGTGAAATGGCAGCGTAGTTGTGGAGTGTGTTTTAAGTAAGTTTGTGGTGGTTCGTAAGGGAAAAGTTGTTAAGATTTTTATGGACATGGAAATGAGCAATATTTGTGTGCATGTGAAAAGTATACGGTCATACTCAGAATGGTATACTGATGTATGTTATGGATAAGTTAAATTTGGAATATGTTGTAATGTATTATCAGGATTGGTGGTTGTATTAAAGCAAAGGACATGCGGGCGTGATAAATATGTCTGTGTACCAAATGTACTGCTCATAATGAGATAATGCAATGTGTGTGATTTTTATCATACATCAAGTGTATATAGCAGTATGTAAGAGAGAATTTCATGTACTCAGTATGGGTTGTATATTAGTATTCGGTGAAGTTCAATGAATATTATTGACGAGTGATGCGTATATAAGGACGTGTTCATGTACAATGTGTTAAGTAGGGTTAGGATGGTGATGCAAGAAATGCTGCGGTCTGTAGAATAAGAATATAGTCTCGTTTAAGTTAATGTTTAATAGTAATGACTATGTATATTTCATTATATGGTAGAAGAAGTTTGTTACTCAAAACTGGAAATTATATTTGAAAAATATTACTAAATATACGTGATTGTGTAAGTTCGCTTGTGGGATGAATGTAGTGTATGGAAGTGAGGTGGGACGAATCATTTGTTATATTGTACTGTGTTTAGTTTTTCTGTGTTGAGGTGTGGAGATTGTTATTTTCTAACCTTTATTTGTTTCGTAATTATTAGGGTGTTACGTATTATGTATTTGTTATGTACATGATTATCGATCGATATCTTTAATGTTAGGGAATAGGATGAAAAGGGTTCTTGACAAAGTTTTGGATGAGGGTCAATATGGTGTTCCTGGGCGATCAATGTGTGTGGGGCAAGGGATCATACGTAGGTTTTATAGACGAAAGTGGGGGGGAAAATAAAGGTGGGGTATTAGCATTGGATTTGCATGCGGCATATGACTGTGTGGAGCGTGAGGCACTGTGGAAGTTAATGCAGTGGCAAGGGTTTGAGAGGGAAATCGTCAGTTGGGCAAAGGTGTTGTATGAGCAGGCTATGGTTCGGGTGCAGGTAAATGGTAGGCTAGGAAAACTAGTTAGGATGGAAAGGGGCTTGAGGCAAGGGTGCCCTGTGTCGCAGCTTCTCTTCGCGTTGATTCAGGATCCGTTCTATAGGGCTGTGCGAGGGAGTGTGAGGGAGGGAGTGAAGAGAGATGAAGTGGCGGTGGAACCAGGGATCGTGGGTTATGCGGATGATACCACGGTTCTATTTAGGAGGTCACAGGACTTACGAAAGGTGGGTGAATTGGTGGAACGTTTCGGAAGGGCAACAGGGATGACGGTTAATAGGGAAAAGTCTATGCTTATGAGGGTGGGTGATGGCGTGGGTGGGGCTCTAGGACAGGAAGAAGGCTGGCCCCTGGTGTGTCAAACTAAGGTGTGTGGGGTTGTTCATATTGGAAACCTTCAGGAGGCGAGGGAGGTGAATTCGAGAGAAGCTTTGGATAGGGTTCTGGGTAGATTGGCGGGATTGCGTACAGGAGGACTGACGTTACATCAGCGTGCTATTGAGGTGAATGTGCTTTTGTATGGTAAGCTGTGGCATGTGGTAGGTATATATCCATTGAATCCGTGCGATGAGAAGCGTCTGTTGAAGCGTATATATCGATATATTTAGGGTTCGGAATGTGACTGGTTATCGAGAGATGTGTGTCTTCCGGCATGCCGGGGAGGGCTGAGGTTAATGGCGTTGCATCAAAGGATGTTGGGCATGTATGTTAAACACAGTTATTTGAGGGAGGGTAGGGTTGCAGGCACAGGTTTGGCATGGGTTCGAAGGGATTTGGAGCGTTGGATGAGGGGTAGAGATGTCCAGATGTGTGAGGGAATGTTAAGGTTATTAATTTATGCACCGGACCCACGCAGGGTCAAGATAGGAAGACTGG